GTCTCAAGAAGGCCTCCAAGGGTTCAGCAGGGTTCATTCACCGCATCGGCAAGTGGGCGAAGGCGCCGCCCACACCATACGCTACCACTGCGCAGGTCAACGCGGGCATCAGCAACCTCGCCCTGGCAGACCTGCAGACGAGAACGGAGCAACACGCTGCATTATGGCATCGCTTGTGGGTGTCCCATCACGGGACCAGCCGAGGCGAACCACCCCGCCCATGGGACACCTGTACCTACGACCGTCCGCTGGTCCACGTCACCCCTGAGGCCTTCAAGAAAGTCTGCAGGACCCTCAGGGCGGCTACGGGAGTAGGGGCGGACCAGATACATCCCAGATGGCTGGGCGAGCTGTCCGACAAGGGCACGCAGTTCATGTGCAACTTGGTCATGTACATCAGCCACCGCATCCATTGGCCGACCAGCGTGCAGCACATCCTCTACTTCCTCCTGGACAAGAACGTTATTGATACTAGGCCCATTGGGCTCATGACCACCACCATGCGGATCACCGGAAGACTGCATGCGGACATTCACATCCAATGGGAAGCAACGATTTCGCGGGACTATGATTGGGCAGCAAGAGGAGGAGGAGCAGAGAACGCCATGTGGACTCAGGTCAGGCCCTAGCTGAGGAAGGCCTACCAGACAATGTTGTGCCCCTCAGCGCCGTGTCTGACCTGGAGAAGGCCTTCGAGCATATCAGCGCCTACCTCTTGTGGGACACCAGCCCCGATCTCGACTTCCCGTGACAGATGATACACCTGTTCATTTCAATGTGCACGGGGCCCAGATGGATCATGTACCAGCGGATTGTGTCCAAAGTTTGCACTGTCACCTACTCGGCCGTTATTGCGGGCTCCTGTGGTGGCACCAGGGCACTGAAGATGGTCACCATTCCAGTATGCGACAATATCCGTTTACAATGGCCACGTGTACGACAGGTTTTATATGTGGACGACCACCAGATGCAGCGAGATGGAGGACGCCAAGAAGTACGTGAAGACATCTACGCTAGCACTCAGTACTACGTCAACCAGATCGAAGAGAACCTCGGCATACCCATCTCGCGCAACCGCGGGACCAAGCCAGGCAAGAGCTACTTCATCACAGCCGACAAGGAGCTGCGCCACACCTGCAGGGCCGTGGCCAACTACTTCGGCTACCAAGTCAAGGCCGCGGGGCAGCAGCTCGGGGTGGACACCGCGGGGTGGGTGGGTGGGTTGCGACATCGCGGCGCAAGGCTGGCTCGAGAATCCGCGAGGCCTGGGGCAGGAGGAGGAAGCTGCTCAGCCTAAAGGCCAGCGGGGCTACCACCAGGGCAGTGGTCAATAATGACCTGCTCCCCAGCATGTTCTACGCCTCGGCCAGCTTCGGGGCCCCCACCACGATCCTCTACGCGGCCCGCATCCTCATGTCCAGTGGCCCAGGCCGCCCTCGCCCCGATGGACAAGTGGGCCACGGTCGTCTGGGACTCAGGAGCCGACTGCGCAAAGCTCGAAGCAGGATGGCGAAGGGCAGTGCGCCTAGCAGCAGCTAGGCAGGCCCCCACCGCAAGTTCGACTGGGCGCAGGTCAGGGGCCCTGCCACCGCGCTCTACGGATCCCTGGACAGACTTGGATGGACCTGGCCAGCCCCCCATTTCATCATGACGCATCACCAGGAGCAGCTGGACATGCGGATCGTACCACCCTCTACAATCAAGGCGCGCGCGCTAGCCAGGCTCGAGCAGGTCGCTATGGAGGAGTGGGCCGAGAAGCGCGAGCTACCGGGAGTTTCACGACCTTTTCTGGAACCAGTGCGCGCCCTCCTCCGCCAGAAGGCTCAGCGTTTCTGCCCGAGGCGAAGAGGCACGATCGAGAGCTACCTGTGCGCCGCCTTCTGCACACAATATGTACGATGGCGAAGAGGAGAGACATACATACGAGATTGCCAAGCATGCGGCAGTGAGATCAGCACCCAGCAGCACAGGTTCTGCAGGTGCAGTGCGCTCGACCAGCAGCGCGGAGATATTGCTGAACATAACGCGGGCATTATTCACAGGGCCACCAGGGCCACAGAGGGAACGCCACTTTTTGCCCGAGGCATTGTAGACCAGATTGAGCGAATTTATACCCGGACAGGAGAGCCAGGCCTGTACAGTGGCTTCGCCTTCTCCGACGGATCGGGAGTAGGGCATCCAGGATGCAAGAGTTTCGGTTGGGGTTTCTCGTTCGTGAGAGAGTCGCCGTTCGTCGTCGAGTTCTCGCAGGGTGGATGCCCTGCTGGAGTGCGAGCAGCCTTTTCTGTCTTGCGGTGTGAGCTGTTGGGCTTCGCGCACCTGTTGCAGTTCGCCACTCCCCCGCTCACCGTGGGAATAGATAACGATACTTTGTTTCGGGGCCTCAGAAGAGGCCGAGCCTGGTGCACCAGAGGAGTTCGCTCGCATGCAGATGTTTTGGCTCAGATTTGGAACGTGCTAGACGATAGTTGTCCTGGCCTTGTAGGGCTCACTACGGTCA